AAGGGACACCTGTAGTGGAATTCTACCTGCTGGAGAGAGCAGCGGTGTTTAATGAGAGCTGGGAACCGGGCCTCGGTGCCTGTGAAAAAGAGGGGTAAGTTCTCACCCACGAACGTACACTTGCCAGCTAGGCCCAAAGGGTTGTAGAAATTGCCATGCTTCTCTCGACATGAGTGGAGAAAACCCATGTACTGATATACTGAAAGCAGGCGTGTGGGGGAATCTGCAAAATCTTGGAATCCAGGAAGCCACGGACATGGGCATTTTCAGGCCTGACTGAAAATGGCATGTTTCTGACTCAGCTTCCTGCTAGTGTGTACTTGCACTTGCCCATGATTATTTTGCTTCCGGTCTAACTGGGGAATTGAAGAGCTTGGAGACTCTGGAGGAATACCTAGGATACATGAAGAGTTCCTGCTAGAAAAAAATTCCCTGTGTGAAATAACACCATCCACCACATGGAGAGGCCACAATTGGCCTGTATGAGAATGCATCCCTCCTTGGGAACTAAACTGCCAGTTGGGGAGCCACAGCTGGGTACCTGTGTGACTGGGTAACTCCCATGGGTTCCCATGACCTCAAGCTACTCAGCCCTGACGCCAGCCGATTGTATGGGATTGGTCATCAGGGGAATAGATGAGAGAACACATTGGATCATTGTTTTTCACTGCTGGAAAAACACCTGAAATCTAGAGCCAATTGAACCTTGCCTATTCATTATCTTAAATATCATCATATGTAAATCGGCTGGCTGGTAGCTTTCTATGAGTTTAAATGTTGAACTGCCTGACAATCATCTCTAAACTTGCCCTTGCTCCTCGTTCCGTGGAGAGCTCAAGCCTTCTGACCACTGCCTCTGTTCTGCAGTGTCCAGTCGGTCATGTGGGAACCTCTCGCATTGAATTCTCCTTGAAGTTATTAATAATAGGTAACGTATTCTGTACTCACATGAGCCAGACTCTGTGCTTCAGGTGTCCTGTGACTGGGTCTTTCATTGTAAATGGCTGGTATTGTTGCTTTTTATAAATGAGGCTCATGAAATGCGGAGAGACCAGATAATTTGCCTAAGGTCACACCATTTGTAGGTGGTAGAGCCCAGGTTCAAGTCCAGGTCTGTCAAGCTCTGATTTCCATGATGGTTCTTCTATGCCTGTATGTTCTAAACTAAGGTATCCGCACCTCTGTAACACCAATGGAGAAAATGGTTTGTTTGTCGATCAAATGTTAAGTAAGCATCTGCCATGATGTAGGCAATATTCTAGATCAGGTATTGTTAGACTTCTCTAGAAAAAGTGAGGCGGTAAATATTTCTGGCTTCATGGGTTATATATACGGTCATGGTCATGATGATTCAACTCTGCCATTGTCATTCGAAAGCAGTTGTAGACAGTGTGTGGCTGTGTTCTAATAAAACTTTATTTACCGAAGCAGGCTGTGGGCCGGATTTGGCCCACGAGCTGTGCTCCAGCTCTTGGCACTGGGATGGTTGTAGCAAAAAGAAAATTCGCAAAAATGCTTCTGTGTGGACCTTCTGTTCTAGAGAGGGGAGACGCTTGGTTTCCTGGCCTGTTATCATGTCAAAACGGTCATCGAGTCTTGGAGGCTCAGAGGCCTTAGGGGGAATGTGGTCCAGCACTCTCCTCATAGGCAGCCCCCCGCCCTGGCACCTCTTCTGGTGTGTGGTCCTGCCTTCTGTGTGAGTGCAATGGTGTTGGAGGAGATCACCCCTCCCCTCTCCCTGTTCCTTCCAGAGGCCCTTCTTATCTGCGTCAATCTGACCCATTCATCCTTTCAGGCAAAACCCTCACAGGCCCTTTAACTGCTCCGCAGATGAGAAATAACTTAAAGGAGAAGCAAGGAGCTCTGTCCCCAGCATCCAGGCTGAATCACTAGGATGCAATGCTGGTAGCGACCAAGATGGTCACCATAGCTATACACAAACAATGAGAAGCAGTGAGGCCATTTCTCAAAGAGAGCGAGCCAATCTGGTGCTGAGACCGTGGGAGGTAGAAGACCACTGCGGGGCCACAGTCAGGAAGGCTTGTTCCTGTCTCTCTCCCACTCTGTGACCTCAGGCAAGTAAGTCATTTCCCCTCCCTGGGTCTCAGCTTCCTCATTTGCAATGTGGAAACTGGCTGAGGCCCTTTGAGCAGTGGTAATTCTAGAATTCTGTAACAGGTGGCTCTCAATAGACCTGTTGCCACCTTACTGCTGGGGATGACCTACCCCTCACCCAGACAGCACCCCTCTTCCAGTAGCAGTCCACAAGATCTGCCCTCCTGTCCACTCTATATTCAACTCCATTATTCTGTTTCAAGAATTGCTTTGTGTTCCCCAAGTCTGCGTTAACTAATGTCTGATATGTTATCTGTGACTACCAGTGGCTTATGTCAATTAAGCTTTTTTTCTATTGTTCCACATCTGTGAGCAGAATGTTGTTTCGGGGCCTCAGATCAGCTGTTTGTAAACTCACAATGCTAAACCTACCCTCTCTCAGAGCTCCCGGGTAACTCAGCCAATTACGTGTCTGTTGGCACAGGTCATGATCTCTCGGTTTGTGGGTTTGAGACTCATATCAGGCTCTGTGCTGACAGCGCAGAGCCTGGAGCCTGCTTTGGATTCTGTGTCTCACTCTCTCTGCCCTTCCCCCCTTGCCCCACTCACACTCTGTCCCTCTCTCAAAAATAAATATTAAAAAATATTTGTAATAAATAAATAAATAAACCTAACCTCTCCCTTCTGTCCCTGCCGCTTGGCTCCCAAGAAGTAACTAACTCTATTGGCTTCCTTCTACAGGGACCAGTGGGCCCCCAGGGCCACCCAAGGTGACTTAAGACTCTCTTTCCATCCTGGAGTCAAGGGCTCAGCCACAGGGCAAGAATTTCCTGGTTCCTGGCACCTGGACCTTTGGGAGTTAAATCATCATCTGCCTCTTTGTTCGGTCAAGCAACGCAGTGGCCCTTGAGTTTAAATAGCAACCACAACACAAAACTGAGGGCTCTTAATAAGGTTTCCTGAGCTCAGCAGGTGATATCCAAAATCTAGGAAATGCTGTGAAGTGGGTCCATTTCCCTTCCTGTGAAAAGCTGCTTCTGACAATCTGCATCAAGAGAACAAACATGGCGTAAGGGATTTGGCTAAACCAGCCAGCTAGATGGGTGAGCCATCCATCCATCCTCCTGAGGTTGTGTACGGGTATCAGGTGACCGCCCGAGTCAGGGGCTGTGGGTGGGAGGTTCTAGTTTGGCTGGAAAATAAACGTGGTGAGGAAAGAGAGCGCACCACTTCCATCAGCAGCGTATCTGTTATGTCATCATGGAACAATGATTTATTCTTTCTAAGCCTCTTATAATTATTTCCAGAAGCATCGGTAAATCCTAGCAAAGCACTCAGGTTCTGGAGATGAATCATTGTGGGTTTTTCTCTTGGTCCTGCTATTTACTCACGGTGTACCCTGGGCCAGGATTCTTAATTTCTTAAAGCCTCTGTTTTCTTCTACAGAGATGGCGATGATAATACCTACTTCCTCGCAACTGATGATTAAGGGATATAACAAACATAATAGTCTTCAATATATTGCTGTGAACATCATGCGTTTTACTGGTTGTTCAAAATATCGACCCAGTTGCTCACCATATAACAAACCTTCAATAAATGTCATGGGATTAAGTTAGAAACTCTGGGTGAGATGGTCCAACTGTTGCTTATAAAATCCCGGGCAAGAGATGAAAGAGGTCTTTGCTGAACTTCCATCAGTCAACAAACCTCTATTCTCTCTGGGTTACATCTAATGCTTCCAGAAGTTCAGAGCCTCAGAAGACGTGTCAAGTTTAGAATTCGGTAGAGAACGTTCATGCAGAAGGAATCCCAGAGATCGGACACTGAGTTAGCCCACAGAGAGAACAACCACCTACTCAAGGTCGTATGGCAGGTTGGTGGCAGAGCGGGGATTAAGTACCATTGTGTGGACTCCATCTAGCGCACATGCTTTCGCTGTCGCTGTACACCTCTCCTCTCTGAAAGCCTGGACCGTGTGACCGAATCCACTCAGGCCATTGGCACCAAAGCCCCGGTAACCTTTGTGCGTTAGAAGTCAGGTCCAGAACAGAGATAGGAGGGAGCTGGGGCAGGATGGCGGGTGCCTCAAGAAAGAGGAGAGGCAGGTCTGTAGGCCTTTCTCAGCGTGAACTCCCACCCTGTTCCCCACACCCTACCCTGGGCCCTCCCTCCTCCCACAGCACCTGTTTCTATGTTTCAATGTCTGGGACCTCAGAATCCTGACTTGTCCAGTCCATATGCCATATACATTCATGGGAGAACTACCATGAATTTGCCAGAAAGTCACTTTAAGGGCAGCTTTGAAACTTTGACTGACTCTATTATTTTCACACCTTTGGCCTTAGAAACTTTCAACTCAAATCAGCTGGCTCTTCTCCCTCTCTAAACTGGTCATCTTCCCTGGAAGTTTCTTTGCCAACATTTTCTAGTTCTCAAGCACCTTCTAACCTCTCCCAGTTCCTCCTGGGTGGTGCCACTCGGTAGGGGTCTTATCACTAGGTGCCGGTGTAGGGGGATCAACTACCAGCCCCATCTCTCTTCCAAGACTTGCGCTACCTCGCGAAGGCTGCCTGGGATGGGCTTGCGGACAGCTTTCGAGAAGCAAGGGACACCAAGAAAGAGGCTGCTAAATCTGGGGCGGAGTTTTCTGGCCTTGGAGTCAATTATTCCTGGCAAAGAGCTACTAGAGGAGCAGGTCTCTTGGGTTAAATATCCAGCTTTGCGATCAGTACTGCCCTCTTTTTACGTATGAATTCTAGTGTTCGCATTCAAGGCCTTAAGAAAGAGTTTTTTCCACGATTTCCAGATGGGACGTTTTCCCCTCCCATGCATTTTCCCAACAGGTATTGCACAACTTTTACGCGAGCAGAGGCCACGGGGACTGTGAAGTACGACTCTGCCCTGAAGATCTCTTACACCGGCTCCCTCCCAAGCAAACGGATGAATTCCAGACAGTGGAGAAGTTCAGGGACAGTCGTGTGTACAAGGTGTTGTGGGGGATCCCCCCTCAAGGGCACCAGCCTTGCCTGGGGATGAGGGTAATGCCTCGAACAGCATGGTGAGTGGAGGAAAGGGAGCCCAGGAAGCAATGGGGCCAGACAGCCCAGGGAGGATGTGCAGGAATGGGCTGGGCTGGGCAGTGCTGGAGAGCGAGGCCAGAGAGGAGGATGGGAGGCAGCTGAGGCCAGGCGGGTCTTAGAGAGCCCAGGCAGCTACTCAGAGACAAAAGCCACACTGGCTTATTTATACTGTGATTTCTTATAATTTAAGTACTTAGTTTAATATATTTATTTTGATCATCTAAATATTTACTTAAAGATTGTATTTTAGGGGCACCTGGGTGGCTGAGTCGGTTAAGCATCTGACTTCGGCGCAGGCCGAACTTTTCTTGAGTTCGAGCCCCATGTCAGGCTCTGAGCTATCTCAGAGGAGCCTGCTTCAGATTCTGTGTCTCCCTCTCTCTCTGCCCACCCCCTCATTCTCTCTCTCTTGATCTCAAAAATAAATCATTAAAAAAGATATAAAAATTGTATTTTAATAAGATAAAACCAACACATGCATATAGGAAAAGAAAGAATACATTTCAAATAGGAAAGTGTAAAATGATTCTAAAATTCTCCCACCTTGCCTACTTCCCTGTTTCTGATCATTCTCCACAAGGGAATCATAAATGGCTGACAAGAAATCCTTCCAAGAAAAAGTATGTATACATTATAATATTTGAATGATATATATGCATATTCTTTCTTATTTATACCAGTGATTTTGTGTAACGTTTATGGTTCTGTACTTTGGTGTTTCTCAGTGGATTTTTTTCACCTTATGTATTAGAAATCTTCCTGAATCAGAAGATACTAGTTTTCACAACTGTAGATTTCTCCAGTCATTTATTTAAAGTCACCCTGGGCGTGCCTGGTTGGCTCAGTTGAAGCAAAGCATGACTCTTGATCTCGGGGTTGTGAGTTCAAGCCCCTCACTGGGTGTAGAGATTGCTTAAAAATAAAATCTCTAAGGGCACCTAGGGGACCTGGGTGGCTCGGTGGGTTGAGTGGCCAACTCTTGATACAAGCTTAGGTTGTGAGATCAAGCCCTGTGTCAGGCTAAGCATGGAGCCTGCTTGGGGTTTGCTCTCTCCCTCTCCCTCTGCTCCTCTCTCTCTCTTTCAAAAATAAATAAATAAACAGTAAAAAAAAAATCTCTTTAAAAACTTTTTTAAAAAGTCAACCCTGTTGAGGGACATTTAGGCTCTTTTCAGTTTTTGTCTGAAAGCTGCTACAATGAGCATTTTGGTTGTCCATTCCCCAAATATTTATTGAGCATCTGTATAGGCTGAGCACTATTCTAGAAACCCAGAATATGCTAGTGACATATACTGATGTCCTTTGGTGAGGATATTAAGAAAGTAAAGGGGGAAATTGCAGTTTTTAAAATTTTTTTAAATGTTTATTATTTTTGAGAGAGAGACAGAGTGTGAGTCGGAGAGGGGCAGAGAGAGGGGGAGGCACAGAATCTGAAACAGGCTCCAGGATCTGAGCTGTCACCACAGAGTCTGATGTGAGGCTCAAACTCACAAGCTGTGAGATCATGACCTGAGCTGAAGTTCAGATGCTTAACCGACGGAGCCACCCAGGTGCCCCCAGTTTTAGTTTTGATAGCTATTTTCAGAATACCTGCTGAAAAGATTGCAGAAATCAGTAAGCCCTCTGAGAGCAGATGCAAATGGTTAGTTTTCCCATCCTGGTGGATCCTGATTGAATATCATCCAGCTTCAAAACTGTTGCCAATCTGATAACCAAAAAATGCCTTGCTACTTTGAGTGGCACGGTTAGGAGTCAAACTGAACACCTTGTCTTGCTTATTGACAACTTGTATCTTTTTTTCTATGAACTGCACGTTCCCACTTGCCCTTTTGCTACCAAACCATTTTCTTCCTATGGACTTGCACTCGCTCCTTGTAAACGAAGGAAATTAGTCCCTTGTCACAGATCGCAAACATCTTTTCCAGGCAACCTTTTGTCTTGATGGTATTTTATTGCAACGTTTTCCGGCAGAGTTCAAGTTGCATCTTGAAGGATGAGTAATAATAATAATTACTGGCTCTTGTCTAGGGCTCCAGTGTGGAACACGCTTGTAAGCGCTTCCTGAGCGTTCCCTCATTTCGTTTGTACTGGTGAGCTTGGTAGCAACCCCTTTATCCAGATGAGAAGACTGAGGCATGGAGTTACCCTCGCGCAGGCCCTCGGAGGGGCTGGGGGGCGCGGACGGGATTCCAGATCAGGAAGGGCAGTGTGGCAGGTGGCCTGGGAGAGTCAGCAAAGGCAAGGAGGTGTGAGATGACCCCAAATCTCAGGGGGGTTGTGCGAAAATGTGTTTTGCATAGAGATAGGCTGCCTCTGAATGAAGGGGGCGAGAGGAACCAGGAGGGGCTCCAGAGCAGATGGCGTGACTTCGTGAGGGGTCTCGTTTCCCTACCTGGGGCAGGGTCTCCTTGACCTCGGGGTCCAGGTCCGGACCAGCTGGGATCCAGCATTGTGCACCACGCATCCAGGCAGGTGGGAGACAAAGCAGATGCCCATCATGTCACTGTGCCAGGCCGGTGCGAGGTGGGTTGTAGGCCTTACTTAGCTCAGGACTCAGTGAGCCCTTGTGAGGTCACAGACTGAGGTCCTGGGATCCAGCCTTGGGTGGTCAGCCCTCCTCTCCATAGTCCCTGCTCCGTTCTGTGCAGATGGGCTCTCTGCCTTGTGCCAGTGGCCGCGAATGCTTCTCTGGTCATCGCACAGTGCACGCCAGGGAGGTTCCTGGATCCTGGCGGACTCTGAGGAAAACAGGACCCCATGTATGTCTCTGCCAGAAGGCCACAGGGTCCCTCTAAAAGTCAATATAAAGGGTCTGGGATGGTCTGTCCTCCTGGACGAACATATCTGTGTCCTCCAAACACGGAGGGGACAGGGGCGATGGACAGAAGATTCTGGAATAACCAAACGTCCACCCGGTGCCTTTCTAGCAGTGCTCTGCTCACCTCCAACGTGGCAGGGCTGGGTGGCCTTCCCATAGGCTTCTCATGGTCGGAACTGGAACTGGGGACCTATGGCTTCAGAAGCAGTATGGTAAGGGAGAAAGAGTCCTGGAGAAGGAGCCTCACATTGCAATATGGCAACATCTTCCAGGCCTAAGGACGGGGTACCCTGCCCTCCTGCCCCTGTGCAGACGTTGCTCATCAATCACGGGGTCCTGCCTTCTGAACCTAGATGGAACCTCACTCTCCTTCTCAAAATGGTGGCCCCAGGGAGCACCCCTCCCCGCCCCCCGTTAATTGAGCTCGGCTGTGGAAATGAAACAAATTCGTCATCCCCAACCCAGTGATTTAAAGCAGCAGTTAAAGAGTCACGTAAACCTGGGTCTAAATTCTGGCTGTGGGACCCCCAACAAGTGACCCGGCCTCTCTTGGCCACTGTCCCTCCCTATAACACTGCCCACAGAGCGCATGAAAAGTCACATGTGGTGAGGGTGGGGGTGCCCAAAAGCTCCTTGAAAAATGCAAGGTCCAGTTCTAGGCTCAGTTCTAGGGAGCCTCCGGACGGCTCCCAATTATCTTCCGTGAAAAATTAGAGGAAACGATGAGACCATCTCTGAAGTCCTTTCCAGCTCACTCAGTGGCACTGGGCTGTTTCCCTCCCACCCACTGACTGATTCCTTCAAAGACCTTTTCCTGCCTGCCCCTTGGGACTGGGCAGGCACTGTTCTAGGCTCTAGAGCCAAGGCCCTGTCTTCTGGCAGCTTACATTCTAGCAGGTAGAAGCACCGTAGAGAAAAATAGAAGTGGGTGACTGGGGAGGGAGGGCCCAGGGCAGATCCCTGGGCTGCTGATTGAGAGACGAGAAAGGAAAAGTCAAGAGAGAGCTGAGGCTGGGGGGCAGCCCTTTGCCCAATCAAAACACTTGGGAATTATAAGCCTGCATAATTCTCCCTCCCAGTCTACCAGGGAGTAAGAACTCCTCCTCTGAAGAGGGCCGTGGGTGGCCCTGTTGACTCAGAAGTGGACACAGCCACAGCACACGCATACATGCCCCGCAACCTTCCCCCTGCAGGCACAGGGTCCCCTTGTGCAATCAGGGGCTTCTGCTCACTCACTGCTGCTCGAGGGCAGAGACTATGGCTCCTCAGCAGGGAGAGTGGGGAGCAGAGCCTCTTTGGGTCCATCCCACAGGCCCTCCCCTTACTTGGCCAAGCATCACGCTGCACGCAGGGCATTCCAAGTGCCATCTTCTTCCGACGGACGCGGTCTCTGTGTCAGCAAGATGGTTGTCTTCCCCTCCCTCCCCTCCCCCTCTCCAGAACTCCGTGCACTGTTCGAAGCTAGCAAGGTGTCCTGCTACCAGGAAGTGGCAACCCCTAAGGACAGACGGGACAGAGGGCAGGAGGACCCAGCGACAGAGACAGTGGGACCCTGTCGCTGTGTTGCACAATTCAAGGGGCTCACCCTTTAACACTCTTTCTACTTAAGTGGCTTCCCCCTGAAGTTGGGTCTCCAGGTGGCCCTGAGGTGGACTTTGAGAATGTAAAGGCATGATAAGATGGGGGTGGGGAGAAAACGTCTTACTCCATTTTTGGTAAGGCTGTGTGTGTGTGTGTGTGTGTGTGTGTGTGTGTGTGTGTGTTGGTGAGTAGACAATGGGGATGGGGGAATGCTCAGACCCTGAATTCTTTTCAAGGAGAGAGATGGTAAGGAACCTACTCAATTCGACCCTATTATCAAGTCTCACAGGAAAGAAGAGAGGATGAGGATTATGGCTGCCAATTTAGGTGACATGAGGCAGTCGCCTCAGGGCCCTGCAGGCAGCAGGAGACTGCAAAAAGCACTTCCCTGGCCGTGGACAGCCATCAGAAAACCTCCTCTGTGAGGGGGGCCGTCCTCACAGGAGACATGGCAACAGGGCCTTAAAAAGGCCACTGGGATGATCACACCACAAATCGCAGAAGTGAGGGAGAAAAGAGAAGGCGCCAGATTTTCATCTGAACTGGTGAGTGTCCTGGGTGGGGGTGGGGAGGACTTCTGGAAGTGAGGGCGTTGCAAGCAATGGTCAAGCAGGGCCAAAGGGCAAAATCCAGACCCAAGAGGGAAAGGGCTACCGAGGATGGGTCCATAACAGGGCTCTGTATTTTCTATTCACTGAGCATCCAGCCAATGCCAGGAACCATTGAAGCAACCTAGCTTGGTGATCTCACTTAATTCCTGCATCAGCTCTGTGAAGCTGTCATCCCCATTTTAACAGACTGGGAAATCAAGGCACAGGTGGCTTAAGCAGCTTGCCCAGAACTTCTCAGCTCGTAAACAGTGAGCTCGTGCTCAATAAACACTGGATAACTGAATGGTAAAATCATTGATAATTGGTAATTGAATTGATAAGAGTGAGAGGAGCACCTGGGTGGCTCAGTCCGGTAAGCATCCGACTTCGGCTCAGGTCATGATCTCGCGGTCCATGGGTTCGAGACTCACGTCCACCTCTGTGCTGACAGCCCAGAGCCTGGAGCCTGCTTAGGATTCTGTGTCTCCCTCTCTCTCTGCCCCTCCCCCACTTACGCTCTGTCTTTCTCTCTCTCTCTCTCTCTCTCTCTCAGAAATAAACATTTAAAAAATTAAAAGAACGAGAAATTTCTCTTCCTCTTGAAAGAGTTTAAGAAGGTCCTAGATCCTTGGACATGGCTTGTCAGTAATTTGTTCATCACAGTATTTGGCCAAACCTCATAAACTCTTACAGAAAATGGCAGGAACTGAAGATGAAGAGAGTAAGTGGTGGGATTTGTTAACCAACGAATGTGCCCCTGAGCCGGCCTCCCATGCCTCTATTTGGTCAAACGTTCTTTTAATTTCTGACTCTGAATGAGCCAGGCTGGGAGAGTGGACGGGAGTGTAGGATGACAGAATGAGAAGTCCCAGAAGTGGCCGGGATGATGAACTAAATGAACAGGGTGAAACTGAACAAGGTTAAAGGTAAAGCCTTGCCCCTGAGGCTCAAAAAGCTAGCTGCGTTGTTATAACCAGCGTGGGGTGGGGGTGGGGGACAGACACAGCAGAAGCTTTGATGAGGCCCTTAGGACGGAAGAGGAGGCCACACTCAGTCTGAGTTGTCAAAGGAACGTGGCTCCTTAAGATCGGAAGGTAATCTGAGGTCGCGTTGACAGACGAACAGTAGCCCAGTGGGAGGTCCCGTAATAGTTCACATTGTTTGGACCCCATTTGGAGCAGTTTGGTTTTAAGCACATTCAAAGAGGGCCGCACAGCCCAGTGCTTGACACACAGGGACCATTAAAGTGTTGGTATATGTTAGTTTCTGATGAGTTACACTTACAGAAGCCTGATAGTGGAGGAGATTGCTTTCAGAGGCTGTGAGCATGGTATGTGTGAGGCATGCCGTCACTAGGTTGGGGACTGGAGTCAGTGATCTCCAATATCTCCCTTCTTCCACCTTCATCTCCAGGAATCACCTGACCTCATCCTCTCTTAGTCTCAGGCCATATGATTTGGGTAAATCTGACCCCACCTCCCAGACCCAGAAGGTGGCAGGAGACCAAAGCCTGGCCCGCATGTCCCTTCCCTGGTCATGATGATCTGTTCAGGGACATGCCTGTGACCCAAACCAGCCCAACAGCAGCTTCAGGATGGGGCTGAACGTACTGTGGGAAGGAAGGTTTCTTTCTCTTGAGATTGCTAATCTTAATCCTGGAGATCTCGGTGGCATTATTTGAGAAAGAAGTCAAGAGAGAGAAAAGTAAATTTGAGAGATGGGGAGAAACAAATTCCTAAGAACATTCTCTTAACAATTAGACCCAGCTCTTCCTGAAACCCTCCTGGACGTTTAAGGTACTTAACTCAATAAATCCCCCTTTTCCTCCAAGTCTGTGTGGGCTCAGGCTCTGCCTCTTGGGAGCCAAAAAGAAATGGCCAAGCCTTGGTTTTCCTTGTTAGGAGGATAGTAATCTGCAGGAAGTTGGGGGACATCACAAATCCCTTTGGGCAATTCCAGCTGAAACCAAAGACCGCCTATGACTGTGGGTCTATGGGAGCCCCCCACTGAGATGCGCCCAACGGAGCCCAGTTATTCCATAGGACCACGGGAGACCACGATGAACTGGCACAGATAGCTGTGCTGGGTAACTAAAACACCCATCTAATGGTGGAGCCTTTGAGAAGATTCCAGCAGGCACTGTAAAAGCCTCCAGCCCAGGCTCCCATTTTGTTTCTGGGCTATTTGGTGGCAGAGAGTGTACAGTGACTCTAACTGCAGTCCTTTACAATCTCTTTGTCTACTCTCTTATCAGTGGTTAGGATGACAGCCCTTCTTACATTCTGAAGCATTTCTTTTATTTTTGTCCCTCATCCCATTCACCTCCCTTTTATTCACCCAATCTGCATGCACACACCTTCAGCGGTGCTCGTGGTAGTCAGGGGTCCTATTCCGACGTCAGGTCAGTCCTTTTCACCTTATTTCAGGGAGGAATTCAATCAGAGAAACTCTTTTGTTCCTTGGAGTCGCTGTTATTTATAGAAGTTACTGATTAGATAAAATCTGTGAAGTTGAAATGTACGTACCCATGGGTTTAGGAATCCTACTGATAAGCATTTATTCTTATAAACTTATAAAAGTTTGCTAAGATATCTACATAAGGCTGATAAGTAGAGCATTTTTGTAATTGGGGGGGAAAAAAGAACAAATTGTCCAGCCATAGAGACTGGTTGAGTAAACTATGGTACCTCTAAATGTGGGATCTGTGAAGTCAGTTTTTTTTTTTTTTTTTTTACAAAAGAGATGAATCTATGTGTGGATCTGGAAAGAGCTCTGGGGTATATTATGAAGTGGAAACCACACTCCTACCACATTGCATAACTCTGGTGGGCGCTGTTCAGGCTGCATGCTATGGCAATGCAGCCCTCACTCGGGGCACCCGAAAATGCAGCGGGGTTACCGTCCCAGAGAGGGGTGCAATCCTCAGGCTATTCTGGTGTTAAAAATATTTAAGCACAGGGGCACCTGAGTGGCTCAGTCAGGTGAGTGTCTGACTTTGGTTCAGATCATGATCTGGCGGTTCGGGAGTTCAAGCCCCACGTTGGGCTCTGTGCTGACAGCTCAGAGCCTGGAGCCTGCTTCAGATTCTGTGTGTGTGTGTGTGTGTCTCTCTCTCTCTCTGCCCCTCCCCCATTCACACTGTCTTTCTCTCTCTCTCTCAAAAAATAAATAAACAGTAAAGAAAAATTTTTGAAAATATTTAAGCACAAACAGATATGTAGTGCTATACATAAATGTTTTTCCCCTGCAAGAGAAAAAAAGAAAATTTTCAAAGTGGTGCCTTGGAGAGAGAAATAAGCAAGGTGGGTGGTGTTTCGCTTTTAAATGTCTATCTTTTTGTCCACGTATATTATCCAATCAGGTACTCGATTCCATTAACCATCTACAGATATTTTCTAGGGGTGGCAGAGAGAGGGTGATGGGCCATGTCTGTTTCAGTGTTTAGGCTTCTATATGCGTTTTCAAACCCTAATGTGCGACCTTCTCCCCCCCGCCCCCCCCCGCCCCAGAGAAACCGCTAAGCTTTACTCTCTACCAAGCCTGATTTTTGGAGATGCTCCAAGGCGAAGTATCCATTTTTCTCACGCGAAGCATAACATTGCTCCTGTTACAACATCTCCTCCTGTGATGTGCTTGTTTCTGCTTGTGCAAGAAGCCCTAACATCCTTGGGTGAGTGCATATTTTTGTCCCCCACTGGAATGGGGGCTGGGCTAGCAGGTGGGTGACAGCTTCTGTAGAGAGGCACTGCTCCCCCCCCCGCCCCCGCCTTGGTCCCTGCCAGGTGGCCCAGGCCGTCAGCCCTCAGACTCCCCGGTGCTGATCCCTACATGCCAACCCCCAGGGCTTGTTTGGGAAGAGGGAGATGAGTCAGCACATTTGCCCAATGAGGCTGGCCTGGCGCCAGCACAATGCCTTGCCGGGATTCAACTGCCTGGCTCCAGCGGTAACTGGCATCTGGGGTCACAGCCGCCTCTCGGGTTCTAGAAATGAGCTCATCTCCTTTGGCTGCTCTGGGGAGACAGACGCCAGGGGAAGGGTAGGGCTGCCTCCTCACCAGCGCCTCAGGGAGCGGGAGGGACCGGGTACAGTCTGAGGGGTCCCGACTCCTTATGTGACACCACGTTGCAGGCAAGGGCAGCTCTGGATATGGCCCCTCTGCAGCCCCAGCAGACGAGGGCTCCGTCCCACATATTTCTCAGTAAGATCCTCTTTTCTATCCTCCGAGAAGCAGCGGAGGTCCTCAGCTAGCAAAAGACGAAGGACTGGAAGCATTAAACATTCAGGTAAATCAGTGAGGTGAGAGACACCCTCACTGCTGTCCCCAATCACTGTCTCTTTAAAGCTTCTTCTCCCAATGGTCGATGGTCGGTGGGGCTCCAGGACCTTACCTCTCGCACCCTGTGCACCTGCTCCTGCCCCAGCGCCTCTCCGATCAAGTTTATGCCCCCCTCTAGGCTCTTCACAAATCAACCAAAGAAAAGACTGGAATGAATCCTCTTTGTCCTCAGGGTCCCTTGAGCTCTCTTTGGCCTGGCGGTCCCTCCGGCTGAGGAAAGCCCTCTCTTAACCCCACTATGGTTTGACCTTCAGGGTTAGCTGAGGGTCCCCCAAGGAACGTTGTTGCTTCCCACGGTTTCCCTCATTTGGGGGCTCCTTTCCAGACGCAGTGTTCTTGTCCTTCAGGGAAACAGGCCCCCGAGATTTCAGACATATGGGGGGGCCTCCATTCTCAGAATTCAGAAAAACATACTGCCACAGGTGGTCCTGTTCCTGGGGACCCCACTTCAGAAGGGATCGGTCCCAGCGTCCAGAGACCACAGACGGCGGTACTGTCAGGGACGTGAGGGGGAAAACAACCTTAGTGGCTGAGGTCTGTCAGGGGTGATGCATAGGAATGTCCATCTTCCATAGTCCTCTCGACAACCCTGAGTGGGAACATTTTCACCCTTCTGTTCCACAGAAGAGGGAACAGAAGTGCAGGCATTTAGGGACTTGTTAGGGTCACATAGCTGAGAGAGAGCCCCGTCTGCCCACCTGCAAACCAATGACTGCCTCTTTCTGGCCGCACGAGGTGACACTACAGACTGGAAGAGTAACCGGTCCTTGGTCAGAGAATCCGATCGAGTGTTCGGACAGACCCCCTTGCCACCCCCACAGGTGCCCCATGACCCGCTGTGTGTTTCACTCACAATGGCGGCTCCGTGCCAACACCGCGAGCAGACGGCGAGTCCCTACCTGCGACACATGCCATTCCTGCCCGGATCCAAATTCCCACCGGAGTCTGGCAAAGAGGATTGAAAGGACGACCGAAGGAAGCGGCAGAGCCCTTTCCGGAGGCTCCACAATTCAGGGCCTTTCAGCCAAAGGCCCAGCTCACTCATCCCTTCCCATGTCGGTGGGCCTCACTGGTGGAAGACCACTGTCGCTGAGGGCTGCATGGGCCCTGGACTCAGAACCTTTCCCCACTCACGATGATGGGGCTGCGGGACCACACAAGGGGCTACCGTGCCCCCTAAAGCGCCACCCTCTGGGTAATGACAGCAATGGCTGTGGCCGCTTAGGAAAGTCCCTTGCATGCCTGGCTTTTGGCCCTGTGGTTACCATGAAGAGGCTAGAATGGAGTCTCCGGGGTCCCCACTGGGGCCGAACCATTGTCAAAGTCAAAGCCAATTTTCAAATAGAGTCAGCCCTCAACTATTCATAGACTAAACAGGTTTAATCTGTACCTCCGCTTTCTCCTCGTCCTTCTTTTTGCCAGCAATGTTTTCGCTCTTCTCCGTGATATGCCCACCGGCACAGGAAGCGGTGGAGGCCTTCGGATTAGTCAGCACCCAGACCCATTAGCGATCCCAGTAAAGGGCTTAAGCAGCAGTTTGGGCAGAATATGGATTTTGAATAACCTTGCTGAGCTCATCCCCGCTAATCATGGAGAAGAGACCATGCCTTGAGTGCTTTGAGCCCTTCTGCTAAGTCTTGCTGGGAGAAGAAATAGAAGGACTGATCTCCACCCCCAGGGAGTGGGGTCCCAGGCTGAGGCTGGTCAGGATGAGAGGGCAGGCCATTCCCCAACCCCGCGCTGTCTCGCCTGGTAGACCCACGATGCCAGTGTGCACGTACCCAGAACCTTCCAAGACCTGCCTCTTGTGGCAGACGGAGAAAATGACTTTTGAAGTAAATGAAGCACCCAGAGGTTTCCTCTCTCGAGTGGCTGTGGTTTATATTCCCCAACCAAATAAGTCAGCAAATAAAATATGGAAAGTGGTTTCAAAAAGTTGAAATCACCTGAACTCACTTCCTGTAGAAGTTGTCATGTCTTTCCTAGCAGACAAGAAGACTGTCGAGGCTCAAGCTGGGTTGTATTTCCACAAACCACCGCCATAGCCTCTCTTTATATTATTAATAATAATAAATGCTAACAGATTGATATGGAAGTCAAGGATCAAGTCAAATGATGCACATGAAGATCTCTAACTCCATGAGGTAGAAACTATTATTTGTTTGCAGAAAAGGAGACAGAGAAGGCAAGTCATGTGTTCCAGCTTGCTCAGGACGAGAAGAAGGGGTCTTAATTTTCAGACGCCACTGTCTTTGATCTACAACGCAGTCCGTGCCTCTTCCCTTGACTGACAAAACCCCAGTAATAAAATCGGGGATCCCCAGACCTCCTTGCTCCTCTCCACCCACCTCCTGAATTTCAGATGTCTATCCCAGGTGTCTCCTCTGCTGGGCCATCCCTGCCATTTAGCTGTGAACCGTGTGCACCTCGTGTGGTCTTTATATTTATCTTCTCAAGGATTGTTAGGTCTTATAATTTAACTTTTCCTGTGATACGTTTTCTCCCCAGAGGAAGAGCATCATGGGGAAGGATGGTGTCCTATTCCATGCCTAGTGGAATTTGTCACTCTTCCTGGATGATCCCAGATGCAGGGCAAGCCCGTAATACCTATTTTCTGATCGCTTAGTTGACTGATGTAGGGGTAGAAACCACGTGGAGTGTACATCTAGTGTATGCTCATGGTGCTTAACACGGCACTAGGCATATAGTAAGTGCTCAACATTTTTGTCAACTTAAGTGTCAGGCCACCAGGAAGAGAGAGAGAATGAGTCCCACAGTCACCAAAGCATCTACTGCGTGGCTTATGGATATTATCCAATTCATTTTCTTAATGTTTATTTATTTTTGGAGAGCGAGGGGAGGGGCAGAGAGAGAGGGAGACACAGCATCTGAAGCAGGCTCCAGGCTCTGAGCTGTCAGCACAGAGCTTGATGCAGGGCTTGAACTCACAGACCACAAGATCATGACCTGAGCCAAAGTTGGACGCTTAAGCGACTGAGCCACCCAGGCGCCCCTGTGAATTATCTAATTTAAACTTCACAATAACTCTATGATGTAGATGGTGTCCCTACTTCTCATACAGCCTCAAGCCAACAGCTGGTGAACGGGGAAAGTAGCGTTCGTGTGCAGGGCCCCGGCATCAGGGTGAGGCAACAGAGGCACCTGACAACCTCTCAGTCCTGGGGACACCCAGGAGGCAGTTATGTGGTGGGCAAGCAAGGGCCTGGGGTTAGGCAGACCAGGTTCTAGGAACGATGAAGAGGTAGGACCGGGTGCCGCAGCCTGCAGCCCACAGGAAGGGCCGCGGGGAGTTTCTGTCCCAGACCTTGAACTTAGTCCTGACACCAGGCTCTGCCAGTACTAAGCCTTTGTCTATGGGCAAAGGACAGCAAGCCTCCAGCCCATTACATTCCAACCGTTCCTGGAACCCGGGCTGGTGCCAGCTGGATAGATCTGCAGCAGAACAGAGCGAGGGCTCCCCAGGAATCTGTGGGAACGTGGGGGGCTGGGCAAGACAGGAGACAGTGGGATTAAAAGATTTGACAAAGAAAGCACTCCTTTACATGGGACAATGCCCAGCAGGCTGGTTTTAGAGCGCGGACGGAGTGGGATTTACCTAAAGTCTCCACCCTGTCGAGGCTGCTGGGCTTGTGCCAGGCTTCCCTGCTTGCCCTGCCCGCTCTCCGTGCACGCCGGCTTCCACTGCAAGTTGTGAAAATCTGTCCTCACAGGAAGGCTGATGGGAGAGACAGACCTGCGGGGGGGGGGGGGGGGGGGGGAGGGAGCCTCCCCCGGAGCCCTGCCCTGAGGTGCGTGCCCTTGCACATGGCAGCTTCCCTTCTGCCCGAATTGATGCATGCTGTCTTTGCCTAGATCGCAACACAGACGCCACGAGACTGGGCTCTGCAGGTCCCTTCCTGTCCCATTTTTAGGAGCCTGGGCTCAGCACTTAGGACCTCATCTCCCCTTATTCACCGCTGCCTGTGTATAGTAGGTGCTCGGTGAATATTTGTCAAACAAACGATTTGACAATGTGCTGGTTAACCTGTCCTTCTCTGCAGCACCGGGGCTGGGCCGGCAATTGTATAAATCTGGTGGATCAGGTGGAGGTTGGGGAGGGGATCCATTAGACACGGGTGCCGTTCATCAGTTCTCAGAGGGAGATAGGGCCTGGCCCTCCCAGCTCCCTTCCTATGGGTAAAGAAACAAAGCCCAGAGAGGCAAGGGCCCTGCATGCTCAGATCTAGCCTCCGCCAGCTTCCTGGCCCCCTCCGTAGGCCCTAATGTAATTCCTTCCCTCGGCATCCAAGGTCCTGCAGACCTTTGCTGACCTAACTCTCCAGTTCAAATTCCCATGCCACCCAGAATCTACACTACTGTTTGGTACTTCTAGTACGTGGCGGTTCCCCCTTCTCTTCATTTGGGAAGCTTCTCACTTTGGAGTCTGTAGTCATCACCTCTTCTGGGAAGTCTTCCCGGGATGCCCCTAGGCAGTTTTAGTGGTTACCTGGCCCTGAGTCTCACAGTGTCCTGTGCTTTCCTTGGTCATGTACTTAGCACTTGCATTTGTGCCATGTTAGAATTACCTGGCCCTCTCCTCTCTATCCTGGGTGATCTCCTAGAAGAAGGACCTTACATTTTATGCCTACCATGCTGCCAGCCTGTCACAGAGCTGGAGCTCCAGGGAGGCTGTTGCATCATGCTCGTTACTATTTTATTTAAACCTGGCACTTTATTATTTTTTAATGTTTTATTTATTTCTGAGAGAGAGAGAGAGAGAGAGAGAGAGAGAGGGAGGGAGGGAGGGAGACATCCTGAGCAGGGGAGGGTCAGAGAGAGAGGGAGATACAGAATCTGAAACAGGCTCCAGGCTCGGAGCTGTCAGCACAGAGCCTGGCGCGGGGCTCAAACCCACAAACCATGAGATCATGACCTGAACCGAAGTTGGATGCTTAACAGACTGAGCCACCCAGGCGCCCCTAAAATATTTCTTATTATAATCGAGCATCGCATCAGATAGGAGAAGAAGTGTAACCACAAGCTAGCGAGGGGCAGAGCCTGGAGTAGAAGTAGACAACCATCTCGCCGACCTCTTCCTCCTCGCCAGAGCCTCTGCGCACTCATCCCTGTCTTCCCAGGAAAGTCCCCTTGTCCACAGCCTTTGAAAATTACTCAGTCACATTTTCCATGACACTTACTCTGCCCTCTGGCCCGAACAGCTCCCTCCTGACCTCCCGAAGCCACAATACCAGCATGTAACACATCCTCCGATTTCTCTTACTGGGTCATCACATCGCATTCTTCTCCGACATAAAGGACACTGTGCACTCCTCCAGGCAAGTGTCTGAGTCTTACATTCTTGTTTTACCTCCCATGTGCCCAGCAGATCATTAGGAGCATGAGAGGTGCTAGCAAATACTTAGTGATACCTTGAACCACACAACACCTCGGAATTCATTCCCTTCTGGGTGGACAACTGTTGCTATTTGCCGTCATCATGAGGGCAGCCCTGGCTGCCCCCTCCGCTGCTAGGTGTGGGTGCGGTTCTGATCTGGGGTGCACAGACCGCAGGCTGGGGCTGGGGATACTGGGGTGTGATGTGAGCCTCCTTGTCCATTGTCTGCAGATCAGCCCCGTTTGCATGTCTCTGAGCAACTGGTCTCTTGTTATTCCTACTCTTTCCTTGATTTCCTCTCCTGAGCCCTGCAGAGAGGAGTCAGCGCAATAAAATAGCTGAAGAAGTTGAGCTGAATGAGGAAGAGATAAATAAGACACAAAGGAGTGCCCAGGAAAGAGACCTGCAGATCAGCTGGGGAATGGGATGGCGAGCGCCATCTCTGCCTTTCTGGGGACATGCTTATGATGACCCACCACCTCCATGGGACCTTGTACCCTGTTGGAATGAGTCTGTTGGAAGACAGGCAAGAGCAGAGGGACCATTCACTCTGTACGCAACTTGAGCAAGTCACCTTCTCCCTAAGTTTCAGTTTCCTTACCTGAAAAATGAAATAATAATGTCTAGACCACCTCTCTCATGGTGGTGGGGGGGGTAGAGAGTTGTTGTATGGATTGCATGAGCAAAGTATGTGAGAGGACTCTGGACCGGAAGTCATTACAGTCATGCATTCATTCACCCACTGATGCATTCCATCAATATTTATCGCACGCTCACCGTGCACCAGACACAGAGTTGAGTTCACTGAGGATCTGATGGAGGGCATTGTACCCACAGACATAGTTCCTGCTCTCGTGAAGCCCACAGTCCAGTGGAGAAAATGGCTTCAGTTAATCATACTATTGGGCAACTACTCAATGAGGTAACAGGAAAGGAGCTCGGTTTCCATAGAGAAGCACGGCTCGGGAACAGATCACATGACACACTTTGTTGCTGTTGTAACCTAGCCACCGGTTCTCAAATTTTGAATTGCGAGAGTCACCTGAGCCACATCCCCTGGGAGTCTGATTTCCTGGCGCTAGAATTTCCCTTCCAGAAATGTACATTTTTAACATGCTCCTCCACCCCCACTCCTCCAAGACATTCTCATGCCACTGACCCTTGGCCACATTTTAAGAAAGAGTGACCCAAGGTTAGTGTGGAGCCTTAATTAGAGACTGGGACCTCTCTGTGACAGCTCCTGTGTTTCTTAGCCTATTTGACTCCAGGCCATTCCTGAAGCCTGTCAGGTGAGCCAGAGGATGATTCTCTTTGCTTCAGCTACTTTGACCTGGGTTTCCAGTCACTTAAAAACATGCCCTCTTGCCTAATTTCGGTCCCTCTGACCTCTGTGAGCTCCCCTCATGATGTCTGCTGGCTCTGCGGTGCATACAGGCTATGCAGGGGTGAAGTCACAATTTACCATTTGCATTTACAGTTAGCATCATTACCATTCTACGCCTGCCCCCACCCCTTACAGCTCCTCACGTTCACCCGTAGGCCCTTCCATAGCATCTGCAACGCACGCAATGCCCTGAACATGAACATCAGCAGCAAGTCTCCAAA